GTGGTTTGTCTAGAGAACTCAGAATATTTCCACATTGCCTAACCAGAGACTCTGTACTATGAGCAAAAATCAGTGTAATCCAATGTATTTCATTAACGTGATAAACACATACAGAGGAATTTCCTTTATTCATTATTATAATCTCCTAAATAGATTGCAGGAGTTGTTCAGGTAGTGTTATACAAATTTTGTCTGCATATAATTTGCCAAACTCAAGCTCTCTGAACATGTCAGAGAATGAATGCAAACACTGAGCTAAGAGACTGATAGTACATAAATCATGCATCTAATTTTTCACTATGCCTCACTACATCCAGATTTTTTTAATAATTCAAGACAATACACAATTGGTGGCTAAGGGACAATGTCTAACAACAAAACTAGGAGACATATAATCATACCCAATCCCTTTGTCCTAGCGAGGCAAGTGCATAGCAACACATGAACAATCATTACCAGGTGGTTTTTCCCCTCCACTGTGGCCTGTTTCTTTTGGTTTTTGCCTTATAATAATCATATCACTGCTGTTGCTGGATTTGACTCATAATTAACACCATCTGTGCCTAACAAAGACCTTCAATCATCCTGGAATTCAGCTGCCTGCAGAGGCCATGCATTGAGCTGCTCACCCACCTGGCTTCCACTGCAGCATGCTAATGAGAGCAATGAATCTTAGCTATGGACACTTTCCCAGGAACATTTGCAGAGCAGTGAAGAAAATTAAAGATCATTGTCACAACTAAGGCTTTCTTCTGGAAATCACTTTTCAATTAAAGCAATAATGGTGTACACTCAGCACCGACGACAAGCACAGTAAAGATAAAATTAAAATACTTATGACCAAAAATCTTACTTAATGATGTATCAGTTTAAAAGGTATGGACTGAGGCTTTATGAACAAAAACTTTGTGATTTGCTGAGAATCAGCAGTAGGAACAACTGAAGTTACAATTCTGTTATAATACTAAAACCCACGTTACTTCAAAATAAATACTTACAAGAAATTCACTTACATATTTAAGCTAAATCTTCTTTGAATCAGAAAATTACACCTATCACTCCATTTGACAAGTGAGCAGTTAATATAACTAAGGGGAATTAAAAGTTTCTTTTTCCCTTTTTATGTAAAAAATAGGCAAAGAGAACACATATAAACTGGATTTCCTTCAGCGTGGAACAAAATTTATCAGCTCACAGAAACTGATGCAGTGCTAACAAAATTAAAATTAGCAAAATATTAAAATTTTTACAATGCCACCAGCTGCAAGGTACTGTGGTAAACTCCCCTCACAAGAATGCAGGGAATAATACTGTTTTAATCTACTTGCCAAGACACAGACCATTGAAGTTTTAGCAATTTCAGCAATGGTAAACATAATTTAACTGCATTTCCTTGAACCAGATCCCAGAATTTTAAGTCAACTTCTATATCTCTTAGTCATGCATCACAAAAAACTATATATATATAAAAAAAATAATTCTACTGTGTACTTAGCATGAAGGAATGCTCCTGTAGCCACTTAGTGGGGATTTGGGAGTGTACTAAGGCAAACTTTATAAACATAATTAAAATACTTTTGCATTAGTAGATTTCACTATAAGCAGGAAGGCTTGAAACAAAGTTTAGCACAATTGAAGTCCTACTTACTTTACTCCTCAAACATGAAGATTGAAAGGCTTTGTAAAATCTGTGCACACCCAAAATACTGGTAAATACATACTTGGGAGTACAGAACCATGAACTGCACAGGATGTCCTCAGCAAAATGATACAGCATAGCCCTAAACTGGTTACTTGAGAAAATCAGTATTTTACTTTTCTGTGTCTTGCAAATTGAAAAGAAATAATTCAGAAAAACAAATTGTAACCTGAAAGCTATAATAAAATCAAAGCTCAAACTGAGCTTTTTCTATTAACTGATTTCTGATCCTATTAGACTCATCTTCATTTTTTTTTTATACATCAGGCCAATGAGATCCACTTAAAATTCAGATGTAGCATTGTTGATATACAAATTAAAGTAAAATTGCTGTTTCCTTGAAGGGCCACGAAACCGAGAAGGAATCATCACAAATGTTCTGCAGATTATTCCAGTTAAAATAGAAAAGCTTAAGGACTTGTAATGAAAATGAGATTGGTATCTAAAACCACTTGAGTGTTTATGTTTACACAGACTTACTGAACTATTCAGATAAACCTTATACCTCATACATGTCTGTAAAAGGGGTAACACAGACTACACAAATGAAAAAGATGTGAATTCTCCTGGGCAGTAACACCGTATCTGTAATAAATTTGAATGAATCATCCTCACCAGGCTTGCAGGATTTTTGTAGAAGATTTTGCTGAGTAAAATCAAATGTCTCCCAAAAGACAAAACACAGAAGCAGTAGCAAACAAGCAGGAAAGCCAAATACAGTACACTATCACAACTTAGCCTCAAATGTTCCCACAAGAGAATTCATAAGGATACAAAGTGCTGCTTTCAGGAGAAAAAAAATATCTAGTAAGACTTTCCAAGAGAATTTGCTAATGATACTTTTCTCCTTATGCTGTCACACAGGAAACTTCTCAAACAAAATATATAGATTTCCAATGCATCCTTCCTTCCTAATTTATTCTCATGCAATGGCAAGAAACCAGCATGAATCCTCCAAAACAAGAAAATCAGACTTTTCACGTTGCAATGCTTTGGTAAGTAAGTTCTAGTATAGTATCTCTGACACATTTCCAGCTAAATTGCTGCTGAACAAGTAGACAAAATCACCTGGGTTGGAATCATGAAGTCTAACTGTTAGCAGAGTAAGACAGACTTGCTTCACCCCAAATAATAAAGACAACAGCCAAAAAATGAACTCAAAGGCATCACAGGAGATAGAAGAAGCACAAGAAAACTGTTTTCCTCAAGGGAATCACAGTCCTTTCAAAAAGTCATCCATATACAAAATAATTTGACCAAATTCTCAAAGGAATGACTTTTACATGCATGCACTTGCTGATCTTAAATACACTGATATAACACTGTATTTGATTCTGCATTGCTGAAATGGGTGTCAGGTCTGCAGAATAAAATTAAGCAGAACTTTTCCCTTTGGGGATATATATAGGGTGTTCTACCATAAATTAATCCACTAAGCATTTCCCAAAAAAAAAAAAAAACCAAAAAAACCCCCAAAAACCAAAAAAAAAAAAAAAAAAACACACAGAAAAGACCAAGATGTGTGTGTAGAACTAAAGGGTAAAAGGGGAGAAAGGAGGAGAAACTGAAGAAAAAGTGTGCAAGTACAGTATAGTACAGTATGCTAACATCAGGTTCCTGAATTTAAACTGCAGCACGAGTTAAATGTTGACTGAAAACCAAGAGAAATGCCCCATTAAAACACTTGTTGATCAGGCAATCAATAAGCTGGTAGTAGTACTTGGATTGGGTGGCCCAAAGAAAGCTCAAGTCTCCCATGTTGTCAGCTTTGTTCTTCTTAAGGAAAACAGTCAAAGACTCAAAAATGCAGTGCCAAAAATTCATTATATATTCCACTAGTTTCACAAAAACCAATCAACCTGACAAATAGCTGTAGTTGATCTGAAATCAAAACATAAGTAAAAATAGGTTTTTATCTATTCCACATTTTTGACCTGGAAATATCAGGTATCTAGAAGTTTTGCCACTTTCCTTTAAAAAATTTTGCAGAAGTCTTCAGAAAGGGACCACTTTACATACTTCAGTGGTGACATATTAAGGGAAAACTGCTAAAATTAACAGAAACACTCATTGCAAAGTTAAGAAGGAAAACCAATTGTCCTCACGCCAAGGGAGCTCAAGACAGAACTTGAGTTTTCCCACCACATGGCTCCTCCCCACAAAGAAAACCTCTGCTTTAGTTATTTGCATTATACTTGACACATCTACGGCTTCAAACTCGCACAACACAGGGCTGGCATCCACATATCCAAGAACGTCTTTTGCTGGTGCCACCGCATCCTAAATACCAGGATGTACAGATGTCAGCAGTGGAATTTCTGATTTTCTGAGTCACAGAACGACTGGTTTAGAACATTACTACTGCCATTACAGACACTAGGCAGGCTCACATGGACTGACTCTGGCGTACAATCTTAACAGCTGCAGTAATGGAAAGCCTTAAACTAGCTCAGAGAAAGCACGAGCTTTCTCTGTCATCATAGAACTTTAAATTGCTATTGATTCTTCAGAATATCACTCTCCCAAAAGAGCTGTATTCAAGGAAGAATATTTTTTTAAGTCCCTTTTTATTCATTTATTCTGTGTTAGGCCACCAGTGTGCCTGTTACAACACTGACAGTGCCCAGCTTGATGTGAACACAAGGGTGGAGTATGAACATTATCAGAATAAGGTCTGAGTTATCTCGTTTGTATCAAACCACCACACAGACTGATGAAACTTTCTACTGCCTGGCCAAAACCACACCACTGTATGATAACATCAGAGTAAACCTAAAAAATTCTGAGATGCTTTGCAGACCATTAGTAGTTCACCTTATCTTAGTAGAAACCTATCACGCTCAGAAGCTGGAAATACAGAGATGCTCATACTGGCTAATTCATGCAGAGGTTTTCAGAAGTGTTCTTGTCAGTCTCCCCAGATGCTTTTTTCCTCATCCAAACTGCAATTTTCTGACAAATATTTTTAGCCTGTATTTCTTATCCTAGTCTTGATTTTGAAAGATTCTACACATGTGTAATGAATCTAAAAACGGTAATTTTGCAATAGTATGTATAATCTCAATACGCAAAAGTAGTTTTCCTCTCCATTTTACAGATCCAATGTGACTGTGTTCAATTCAGTATATTTAATATTTTTTTCCCATTCTTGAGTTATTTTTGTAGAACCTTTGCTATTATAGAGTTCTTTGCACTCAGGCGATGAGACCAAGCACTGATTTGAAGTAGATGAATGGAGAAATTCAGAGATGTGTAATTGTTGCAGGAAAGGAGAGAAAGGAAAATGTACTCAAATACTCACTTTGATGAATCTATGAAGTATATTACAAGAGCACCAATACTAAGAGCGAAGACTAAGACAACCTACAAAAGAAAAGAAAAGAGTAATTATTTAACACCATTAACCATTCATTCTTTTACATACAAAAACAAAGACAACAAAAATAAATCATAAGCTAGCTTAATTTCAGCTCTGATTTTCTTTAGGAAATTAGTCCTACTTGAGATTCAAACACGATATATTATCATAGAATGCTTTCTTGCATTAAAAAGAGAAAAAAAAATCTGTCTTTACCAGACCTATCTTTCAGGATTGCTCATTGGTACATAAACCAAGAGTGACCAAACTTCCATTTATATACATGGATGTGAAACCCACAGGAAAACTGTAAGAATGCACTCATGTCCATAGAGACTACAGTGAACTGTCAAACAGTTTAAAGAAACAGTGTAGACATCCCTCTGCTCCCAGCTGTCACTCAGTGCTGTAAAGGCAGCATCTGAAGCAAGGTATAATAATTATTACATAACCAAACTCTGAAGTTCTGCATGGCCAATATCAAACATGTACATATCTTCCAATAAAGTAGTCATTAACGTATGAATATTACATAATTAATACTAATTGTTAAAATAACTGTTCAACTGAAAGCTTAAAGATTTTTCCTTACTTTTATATCCTGCTGACCATAATATTTTTTACTTTGTGAATGTCTGAAAAAGAGTATTTTGCCTAAGTACAAGTATCTGTTGTCTTGTCCAATGCATTATCACCCAAACCAGTGAGATCTGTCCAACAAATTCAAGAATTGAAGCATGAAATTCATTGAAGTAACATTTTTACTACCTAAGTCTAATATATTTGTGCTAACATCTAGGTGTTACAAGGTGAAATAAGCTATTAAATGCATATCAACTGGTAGTAGTCTCACCATCACAAGAAATTATAGTGATGAATAGAACTTGTGGACTGTTATCTGATGACATACCCCAAATTATGATTAGCAGCAAACCTAAGGCCCATTTTTCTCTGAATTAAGACAGTAGGAATCACATTATTATGCACATTCTGCCCTACCTGTTGGAATATTCCAAGCTAGATACAATCACAGTTTCAATCTGAATCAAATCTGCTCCATAATTTATTATCAATCCATTTCAAGGGAAGTCTGCATTTTTTCAAAAACAAAATTTTAAAGAGTGCTAAGTGTTCTGAGAACACAGAGCTTAGAATTTTGGCAAAAATTTTGCTTTTTCCCCAACCAGTTTTAAACACAGCTATTCACATTCAAATAATTTAAAGTCAAGTATCAGTGGTAATATTTTACTCTGCATTCTGCGGAATCATTTCTATAGTAACAGCACCCTCAAACCACTATTAAATATAGGTATCTCTTAAAAAAATAAAGAAAGAAAACAGCAATAAAGAAACAATAAAAAGCAAACTACCTATAAATAACATAAGAAAGAAAACAAGAAAAAAACAACCCCAAAAAAGCCACAGGACAAAAGAGATTCACTCTATGGCAGGAGTTTTGGGTTGCAGAATGCTGAGATGGCCACTTAATGCTGGAAATGAAATTTTAAAAACTAAGATTGTAATCCACTTGGGACTCTATAAATACTCTTCTTATTCATTCAAGTTTCACAAAGCACACAAGGGCTTTGTAAAACTTTTATTTTCCTTTTCACATAGCAAGTCCTGAGTTATGACTTTCAGTCATTGCCTCTGACCCAAAGGAGTCCTGTAGAGCAAACCCAGCAAAACACTGGATCAGCCTTACATTTCAGTTATAGCCAGTCCTTTGCTAATCATCACTGTGCTGCCTAAATGTTACAGAGATTCTGGGTGAGACCTTCCAAAACACTTAAGGCTTTCAGGTGTTCTGGGATAGTTCATGTAACTGCCACTAAAATGCAAATATCTATATTTTGCAAGCAGCTCCAGATTCCCATGCTATGCCAAACAGTGAGATATGTATGTATGCAAGACTACAACATTACCCTTCTCTGTTTCTTATATGTTTATATATATATACACACACACACACCTGATTTTAAATCATGGCTTATTTTCTCTTCTATTGCCTTGAAACACATACCTAACATGATACATAATGTTTCAAAGATCCACAGAAAGGGTATCAGAAGAGAATGGAACATGAAACTCCATTTGGTTTACCTGCTAGCAGAGAAACACATTTTTCCTTTGCTAAGTGACAGGGGACTTGAGCTGAAATTGAAACCATCAAGTGTGTGGGAAAAGCAGAGCCTGAACCAATCAGGTTAAAGCCATAATAAAATAAACTAAAAAAAAAATAAATAGATTTTAACAAACCCCACACTCTTGTATGCTATATGATAATGTCTCAGATGTAAGTTTTTTGTATTCCCATTTAAAGAGCATGGAGTGTAAGCTGGTTATTCAGACCCAGGATGACAATTACTGAGCTTGCTCTAGTGTTCCCTAGATTGCCAGGGGAGATAATAACTGTTTTAGAGACCTTACTAGGCTAGAGGGGTGTCACAAACATAGACCCATACCCCAAAGTCACAGCAACTCAAATCTGAGGGAGGGAAAAGCACACATGTATGTGAATTGCTGCCTTTCTTGTTAACTAGGCCATGGCAAGAAGTTTGCTTCCTTTGTTTATTATTTCAATGTGTTTGCCAAAACATTGCAATTGCTACACATCTATTATAACCCTCTGTACAGAAGGAAAGAATCCTTTAATTTATAATAGCTTGCTGTTTGTATAAGATTGAGAAATGTGAACTCATTTGCTAACAGCTATACTGACTAAGCACTTACTAACAAATTAAACACCAATCTGATTAAAGAAAAGAGGGGGAAATACATGGAATAGTTGCTGCATATCCCTAAATCTTTCATAAAAAAAGGAACAGAAAGATCCAGCCCCAGATTTAAACGAAAATGAAGAATGCCTTTTTATGGCAAGAGTCAGAGAAGCTGCATATAAAATTCATCTAAGGAAAACTAAAAATGTTTTGACTGATTTCAAGATGTTCTAGAAGAGCTTCGACTGCAGTCAAAATTTAGGCATCCATAATAAATGCAAAAAGAAAAAAAGAGAAAGAAAAAAAGGGGAGTTTTGATAAGGGTGTAACAGCATAATAATACTGCAGGCAAGCACCAACTCTGAGAAACACTGTCCCAAATAGGCTCAGGCCCCAGCCCATGTAACAAAGGGATAATCCAAGGGGTGGCACTGTTCCCCCTACAACTCCAAAACTGCACTATTGAAGAAAAAAGGGCCAGCAAGAAGGCTGGTTCATTAGACAGAAGGGCTACAGTTGTTAATGAAGAGGCTCCAGAGCAGGAACTTCAGACTCTCATATGCTGTAACACTTGAACGTCCTGTGAAAGTTGAAACAGAACTCTTTGAAGTTTCAAAGGCAAATTTGTGCTTATACAAGATTAAATTATCCAAACATAATTAATACAAAATAGCATAGAAATCAAGAGGCAAAGCACAAAATAAAAAAGGAATAATCATCTCTTTTTATTTTCCTCCAAAATTAAGTATTAAAATAGGATGTATGCAGTGAAAAAAAAACCAAAAAAAAAAACAAAAAAAAAAAAACCAAAAAAAACCCCAAAAACTTTCAGAAATCTGTAACCCCTAACACCTTGGGGCATCAGAGAGTTCTTATTTTTTCTGACAACAATCTCTTCTGTACTGTTCTTCAAAAATGTTTCTTTCAAACTCTTGTTCTATGGTTAAATTATTCTACCCAAAAGCCATTGTAATCCTTAGAATATAGTAGGGTTTTAGTTACTAATATGTTTTGAAATTTACTTGGTTTTCATTTCTATATTCACACAGTAAAATCTCTTAATAAGATACTCAGTTTTATCAACTATGATTTTAAAATATAACTTCATTTGTTTTTATATTTATAATTAGTTATGGAGAACACTAATTAGTTCCTGTATACATAAAGCTAAAGCCTCAATGATCCATCAAACTTTTGTTACAAATGTCTCCACTACTAAGATGTGAATAGCCTGATGTTTTGATCTAACTTGGATGAAAATTCTCATACCTTAAATATAAACCCCAAATGTCCTTTAACCATCAAATAAGAAATCAATTGTAGTTCTTTTATAGACAGACAGAATTTGCTTATCCAGATTTGTTAGGAATGAAAACCATAAAAATCTAAGGATCCACCTGCTTCAAGTTACATTTCAGAAGTTATCAATTCCTTCTAGCTTGGCAAACCCAGCATTACTTCGTAGACTCCAGGAGATGCACCCACATCTCTGCAATGTAACAAAAGTAAGACCTTCTTGACCATAGAAGATGCAGAGTATCTTATCTAAAATTGCCAACTCTTAGTTACTGAGTTAACTTAATTGCTAACTTAGATACTTAATTGCTAACTCTGAGTTACTCAATCTTCATTTTGAGCTTAAAGCAACTAAAACACTAAATCCAAATTTTGCAATTTTTATAGCCACATTAAAAACTTTTCAGAAACCCAGACTTGAAAATCTTTTACAAGATTTTACATGCAAGTCATTTCCTTTCAGTGACATTTTACGATTTTGTTTTTTGTTTACTGCTATTACACAAAAAGGAGTTAACTAAAAAGTTCACCAGGTATTAAATTTTACAGTAACTAATTTAGTCATCAGCACACAATAAAAACAGTACTGTAAATTTGGCAGTTTTACAAGATTTTTTGCTATATAAATTTTCCCCTTCAGCAAAGCTCATATAGGCTTACATTTTCCAAGACAAGTCTGAGTTTATCCAAAAGAGAAGGTGAAGGGGAGTGAGAAATGATTACCTGATAAACCAGCGGGCAGTAAATTCTCTGTAAACTTCTGTCAGAAAATTCATAGCAAGGATTTAATTTTAAAACCAAAAGGCATCAAAGTAGTCCAGCACTAGCTCTGATTGATGACCATGAGTAATCAGAAGCCTTGGTTATTGTCCTTAGTCCTACCATTCCTGTGATGCGTGACAAGCATATTACTTGACCTCTCCAGGCTCTCAATTCTCCCTCTTGCTTGGATTTGGCAGGAATACTCCATGTCAACTCATCAGGGCAAC